CTCTGCAACTATCTCAGCTGAAACTGGTCATCAAGTTTTCCAACCACAGACACTCAATGAAAGTGCATCAGTGAACACAAGAACAACAAAAAACACAGGACGCTGGAGTGGGAGGGGGTTCGGCCTGAGCCACAAGTCAATAAACCCCGTGTAATCTGTTCTCTTTGGAGGCACCGACCATCTGACAGGAGATTACAGCAGTTCTGCCAAAGTTACAACATGCAACTTCCTAACATGTGCACACGCTCTCCTAAAGAGAGGAGACGGCACGCTGACTGCCTGGTTAGAGAGATTTGGGGGGAGGAAGAAGAAGAGACGCTGACTTCATGCATCATTAAGCAGGTGGACACTGAGCAAAGCTGTTGTAGAGCAGAGCCGAGTGGACATCTGGTCCAGCAACAGGACAACACACCCCCACATTATAGAGCCACAACCAGTCTCACAATTAGGACCAGTTATTATTTGTGCATGATCCAGTTCATTAAACAGCCGTGGATGACATCAGTGTTTTTATTGATGCTGTGAAGAGACATCTATATAAGCTTGTTCCACAATAAGGTCTAAGACCAACTTAACACAACTCTAATTTAAAACAAGTAAATAAATACATAAATAAATAAACTGTGCAGCTTGAGACACTTCTTGGTTCGTCATAATATTTCTGCAAAAAATTATTACATTTCTAATATTTCTGGAACTGTGAAAGTGTTTTATGTAGTGAAGTTTGAATATTTATTTTTATTTTATCTTTTATTTAAGTTCCTATTTAGATCAATCAACCATTCCTCCAGGCAGTACTGGAACCGATGGCAGCGTAAACACAAACCAAAAACAGCAGTAAAAGGCAAAAACATCAAGAGACAAATTAACATATCCACAGAAAATAACTAAAAATCAAACAAGAGTTAAAACGTGATGGATGTAAGAAAAAACTATCTAGATATATCTGCTTGAATAGATATAAAATTCATGAGTAGACTCAGTTTTAGGATGGCAGCGATCCCTTGAGCTTTAATCCAGTTAAAATTAAACTGTTTCTCCAAACTGAGGCAGTTCAAAAAGCTATCTACAACAGGTAGGATATTAACTGTTCATAAAAGTTCCCCTTAACCTCATTTAAAATAATCTAAAGCACATTTTGAAGGTTGCAGTGGGTTAAGCACTTTATCAGTCCATGTATAAATGGAAGAAGTGTGATGAACATGAGCTGCATTTATAAAGAAACCAACATGAGCATCATTTTGTGATTCTGACTTGTCAGCACGCTGCTTATTAAACACGAGGAGCATATGGATGGAGGCGTTGAATCAAAGGGTTTGAGTGTTTGGGGAGACTGAACACCATCTGGTGAACAATCACCTCCTCGTCTGTGCTCCTAATGTCTCTGTCTGTTCTAATACAGTGTTGGGAAACTCACGGTGATGTGAAGTTTTAAAAGAGTGCGTTGAAACCAGGAACGTCTCAGTCTGACAGCTGATTTAAGGTCTGCTGCACATGAGCAGGCTGTACGTCAGTGTGCGAATACAACAAGCAGATCTCTGCACAAACAGCACGATCCTTAAAACACGCGAGAACAGCAAAATTATGCAAATGCACCACAACATCAGTATCAAGCCCGACTTAGAGGACTGAATTTACTGATCCTGGACTGTGACATCATGAAGAAATACAAGGAACTGTGGCTGAGCAGTTCCTCGAAGCCCCCACCACCGATGCACTCGGGCTCGGCTTCTCACCGATAAAGTGACTGTCAGAGGCGATACAGTAATCCTGTTCTAACGGCCGTGTCCCTCCCCCACCATGATGTGATGGCCCCAGACACACCGCTGCGCCTTGGAGACGGGACAAGTGTCAAAAGCAAAGTACCACCATGACACACGCACGTATTTGACAGCAGTCATGAGCTAAGAGGAGAGAAGCTATTCTGTCTCGGGTGAGGTTATTTCTGACTGAGTCAAAGTTATAAAAATGACTTTCTGCAGAATAAACAGATAAACCTCCAACTGGATCTGACGTGACGTCTCCCACTAAGGCTTTGCTTTGCAACGAGTGAAACCAAAGGGTGTACAGAACGATGTGCATGTTTGTCTGTTTTCTGTTTTGTGATGTGCACGTTAACACGTACGCTCCATCCAGAGAGTGCTAAATGATCCTGGACTGGGGTGCACTTTAAAACTATTCGATAAGCTTTACATTTATAATTCGTCACGAGCAAAAACGAGCTGGATAATTGTTTTTAGAAAAGTCATCGGCTTCTGGTTGTTTCTCTAATTCACTAAATATTCACTAATATTCTAAATATGTCCCCAGGGCTAGAAGCCGTACTTGGACAACCTCCATCCAGTCCTCAGGATCAAAACAAAACGATTTAAAATCAATCAATGAAAACAGCAATTTAACCTTAAAGCCCGAGGTGACAAACATTTGCTGAAGGTTTGTGACCAAAGCTGGAGGTGTCCGGTTGTTTTCAGGGTTCATGAGGTCAGTAGTTGAAGTGTGGACTGGACTGAGGACGAACGTTTCATCACAACATGCATCTTTGTCCACGAGCGGACCACCGTCACATACAGGATGCTACTGACAAAAACTGAGAGAAACAATTTAGGAGCATGCACGCTGCACACCTTTGTTCACCTGAAACGGAAGAAAATCAAACTAAACACAGAAGCCTGAAAGATTTTTATTTTTCCTTGTTTAATTAGAGGCGTTAGTCAGTTTGGCCCTGTGGTAACAACGTGTTTCTCATCCTGCTCTAATTTGTGCCTCCTGGTGGAGTCTTTATTTGTTCTCTGTTCGTTTAATGGAAATCAATGTGCGCACAACATTCAGAGTGATGGTTCATCTCTTCAAAAGCACCCAGAGGAGGAAGGACTGAGTAAAACGCAGGACTGTAAGGGAGGACATGTTAAAAATTCTCCAGTGTTTCTTCTAACACGGCCTTCAAGGAACCACCGATGTCTGCAAAAGTTAAATGTAAAAGCATTTGGAAATATTAATAACTATAATTCTCAGATGCAGATTTTTAGAATCTAAGTGTGTGGAGGTTTCTAGTCTCATTAGTGTAACAAAGGGTATGCTCCAGGGATCTGTTCTGGAACCACTAGTGTTTATTCTGCTTGATGAGTTGGAAATTGTTTATAATAGAAATATGTTAATTTCTTGTGTATTGTATGAGACATATATGTGCAGAAATACAGCATACAATCAATCCAAACTAATTATTTATATATAAAATGTATATACATGTATGTATGTGTATATAATACACAGAAACATGTACAGTACTTGCAAGATAAAGTTTTAAACTAAGATCATCTTTTCATAAACGACTGAGTTAGCGACTTTTTGACAAACCTTTAAAACAACAAAATGCACAAATATTGAAAGTTGTCTCACTCACAGTATGTGTTCTGAATGACTCTCAGCTACTACCACACCAGATTTTAGCTCAATGTCTGTAAAACTGATTGGGTTATAACCACTTTTGTGTCGGCTAATGGTGATTAGCCGTCATTTGGAATGACTCCAAAAAAACAAAATGTTGTTGATCCAACGATTAATGAAGGTTTCATTAAAACCCATGCTTTGTGAGATGTTTTGCTAACAGTGCTGCTTGAAATGTCAAAGTTTTAAACAACGCTCTTGTATCCGTTAACTCTTATAATATGTAATGAGAATCAGTACATATTCAGCTACTACCTGAACTTTAGGCCAAGTTGACAAAGTTTTAGCCATTTTGGTGTTTTTAAGTTCAGTAGTTGTGTTACATATTTAATGTCTGAACATAACGATGTCAATCACAAAAGTCACAGCTCCAGATGCTTTTTTAAACCAAAAAGATCTAAATGTTATTACATGTGGCAAACAAGTCAGCAAATCTTCCCGTTGTGAGGAAAACCAAAGTTCTGTTCGTTTTAACTTAAAATGTGATTTACATGAAGACGTCATGTGATTTACATGAATACATCATGTGATTTGCATGAAGACATCATGTGATTTACATGAAGACA